GTGAGGGTTGGAAGCAACCTGTCGGGATCCATCGAAGTACAATACGGCGTACCTTAGGGCTCGGTGCTTGGACCCCGCCTGTTCCTGGTTTTCATAAATGATCTCGCGAGCGTGCTATCTTTGTTTGCTATTCGCTCATGATCTAAAGGTGTGGTTCCCTATAGCTGCAGTGGAGGATCACACAGTGTTACAGGAGAAATTGGACAAAGCATACGCATGGTCCATCGAGAACATGCTGCATTTCAACCTCACCAAGTGCAAAGTTCTCAGCATACGGCACAGAAGTATGCATAACTACCGCATAGGACCACAAACTCTACAGCGAGCTTCTCTCGAGTGCGATATGCGCGTGATAGTTCAAGATGACCTCGGTTGTTTGGGGCAGACTGAAAAGGCATCTAAGAAAGCAAACCAGTACTTCGGTCTTCTCCGCAGAGCTTTCGAGAAGTCTGACCCTTCAGACTTTCCAAAAATGCTTAAAGCGTACGAGCGGTCGCACTAGGAATACGCTATTCAAGCTTGGCAACCTTCGCTAAACCACCATCTCACTGCGCTCGATACTGCACAAAGTAGGGCAACGAAGAGCATCAGAGGTTTTACCAGCCTCTCCTACCCACTCAGGCTGAAGACCCTCAAAATATACAGTGGATATCATCAGGGTCTAAGGGGTGATCTTATAATGGTGTACCAGATCCTGGGAAACCCCAAGCACCCACGCCATTCCCTTCTGATACTCAGTCAAAAAACCCTGCTAAGAGGTCACCAGTTTAAGTTAGTCACGCAGTACAGCCGCCTGGAATGTCGGCGAAACTATTTCTCCCTTCGAGTGGCACAGCTTTGGAACGCCCTCCCGGAACATGTAATTAATGCACCCACCCTATCCCTTTTCAAAAAACGTCTTGACGATACTGACACATTTACACTACGTGCTATAGCCCATGACCACCAGATGCTGGCACTAATGCACAACAGACAGTGGACAGTGTCAAAAACCCTAGTCGAGAATAAGTCACATCAAACCCCTTGCACGCAATCTGATAAACGCTACTACTATAGAAACTGGATTTCTGTATCCTGTCGACCCAAGATAGCTGCACACGAGTAAGCTTTGTCCTTGTTGTTTTTGCTCTCTCCTATTACGTGATCAATAACCACTCCCCTTATGGCTTTGTGTCCGCGCATTCTAATTTGAAACCGATTATACGGCACTGAAGTTAAATCTGTAATCCCCCGAACATTGATCTCTCTTGTTTTACTCCAACCACCCTACGGGACATGTCCAGCACCTGCTATTTTAGCCATTATAAATCATTGTTCAGTGTTCATTGCACATGTTCAGCGATCACACACCAACGCAAGAAACCGAATGAACTTGGAGCACGACTTACGAAGTGCCTAAGCTGAAACAGGATAAAATATACCCGGAACTTATAAGACTAATCAATATCAACTGTCTCATCAAGTAGACCACAACGCGATTAGTCAACAGTTGCTCAAAGTAGGTGTTTTCTTTCTTTGAATGCTTGAAAGTAGTTAACAACAGTATTCAGTGGCAGTAATTTAGAGCGGAAAGTGCAATACTTAATAATTACTTAGCTTTTAAAAGAAAATTGGGGAGTAATTTTTTATAGTAAACCCGCTTTGTGGGTAAAAGCCTCAAAACGTTTGAGAAGCCTTGCTCCAGCTGGTTGTCGGAAGTCTAAACACTTTTAAACGATAGACATGATACATAGTGCATAGCTAGCAAATAACGAAATACAAATAGGCGGTGCGGAACTAGCTCTAGCTGAGTCACAGGACACTAAAATTGTATGACAGTGTAATATGTGCCATCCGGAAATGCGATCATAACTTCTAGTGTCATGAAAATCATTCCATCACCGTTTGATATTAGGTCTAAGCCTTAAGTTATTGTGCAAGTTTAGGCATAACAGAGCGTGTGCCACAGTTGGCACAGAGTAGTTTTAAAGGTTTGCCGCGCAACCAGAGAACTTTGTTAAATAACCACCGTACTTACATTTACACCGAATAAGGCTTTAAGTGAGTGATAGATTGACTGAAGCCTACAACCCAGCCATGGAGGATAGAAAGTTTGCAAGTCTGTTTTACGTTTCGATGGGCGTTATCTACGAATTTGAAAACCGTTGCCAAGTGGCTTCTTCGGTCTGTGTTTTAGAGCTGAGTATTGTAATGTATGGTGTGCGACGAGAAGTGGTTGTTAACAACCATAACTGTTGTTCATGGTGATTGGTAAGCGGCGCATTAACTGAAGCCGCGATTCGGAATGTAATCAGTTGAGACTGACGGTGAATCGATCGGTGGCCTAGGGTGTTGCACAGCGATTCGGTCTCCTATCTAGACCACATAAGTACTAAAATATACAATGATATTACCACTTGAGATGGAATACGAGAGCCTGTAGTCGGCAGGCATTAGTGATTTAACCGAATCGAATACTCAGCTAGTCTTACAGTTGTGCTTCAGATAGTGGATTTCTCAACGTTCTAACGGAAGCATCAGCAGGTGAATTAAATTAGTGGGCCTCACGATTGGATGAATGAACCATAAAATAATAATTTACTCGCCGTATGATTTGCATACAGACAAGTATGTGCTAGTGGGGCTACGCGTTAGCACACACTAAATAGGCCACTGCAAGTGGTGTTGAAATGTTCGCAACGCAGCCTGTAACTATTTTAATGGAATCAACGGTCAAACAGATCCATCGGTTATCGGTAATACCTGTGACTTCTCAAACATATGAGTGGACCCGATGTTAGGGAGCTGGCTACTTAACCCTCAGTTTCATGATTTATGTTAGTTGCCTATTTCTTTGTTTGCGCAGTTACCTGCTTCTCTGCTACATTTTGGACACGCCGCTTTCCTCAGCCTCATTCGCAATCGCTCACAGCTAATTTCAGCCGTCTCATTCTGTGGACATTCTGATTGGTTTCTTTTGCTCAGCGTTCCTTAGCTTTTTCACGTGGATGTGTTATTCAGCCGACACCTATTTATAATACCTGTTTTTATTTTCCTGGTGTGTGTCATTCTCACTATCAACTGTTCTGGCATTTGTTTAAACACATCACTTCTCCACACTGATTGGACGCTACTCGTCGTTTTTAATGGTCGCTCACCAGAAAGTTACCCCCAGGGATTAACTCCGCAGACACTATTTTCTTTGCCGCACTTCATTGGCTCGTAATTTTCGCGATTCTCATTTGCTTGTTCCATTTTATGTTTTCTCCATGCCTGTTGGATCTCATGCGTTTAGTAGCTTGGATTCGCCCTTGTTTGTAAAGCTATATAACTGGTGCCGTGCTGTAATAGAAAATCTGTTCATCCCGGCTCATCTTGGACTTCTTCTTGCGGTCGTGGGGTGAAGGCGTACTAGGCGTCACAACACCTGAAAAACGACTGCACACTAGCCGTGGGAGAGTTTAGGCCTGGTACTCATTGGTGAGTCGCCCAGACCTAAGAGACTATGAAGCGGTGGGTCCAAGAGCATTAACGCCCCCCTCCAGTAATTTCGACTGTTTCATGAAATGATGTCAGATTTAATATCAAAACAGTCACGAAAAACAAGTCACTGGGGGAACATTTCCAAGCGTTACAGCAAAACACTCTCTGCGTAGTGCATTAACGGAATGCATACCTGCCCCCGACCTTAGGAAAGTACAAAGGAATATATGCCCACAATCCGGCGCATGGTACGTCTGTAATTCCATATCTAGCAAAGCTACCGCATGATCCAAACGCCATAATCTAAAAAGTAACTAGCATTTTTCCGGTGTCGTGCGTGCACATGGTATGTTACTTTTGTTGTTGCTTCATTGTTATTGCGCTTAGGATAATCTTTATTCTCTTTTCGATGACTTGTGTCTCGAACTGGCGTATTCACTCTTCTTGGGCGTACTAAGTGCTTTCCTGGTTTGACCTGACCGGATATCCTATTGAATCTGGCAGATGACGTTGACGACTACTATCCTCCTGCATGTTGGGATATTTCCTGATACAATTTAAGCGCGCTAGCGAGCCACTGGTTCACACAATCAAACGTGGAACAGAGAAGCCAGTCTGTGAAACAGTGTTCGAAAGACGATCCACACTCAGACTAAAGTATAATTCATAAGCAAGGGGTACATCCTTTACCACCAAATTTATTAGATGGTCTCCCAGACGCGCTTAGCTGAGGCGGTGCAAAGATTTTAGGCCTTTGCTGAATGCAAGACTATGCATGTATCGAACTTTGTGTTTACAGCCCGAAGTGCTAACCCAGGTGGACTAAACTTGCTGTTCCGTCAAGTCTACCAGATTTGGATGGCGTATTCAGCATGGACCTGCGTGATTTCAAGAAATAAGATCAAAAATAATGACACGAATGACCGGAATAAGGGGAAATGTAGGCTTACATTTCGTGTAAACGCAAGGTAACGATGGTCAACAAACATAAACATTTTTTCTGTTTCATTATAAAATATCAGCAGGCAATTTAACCTGCCGGGAAGCGAGCATGGCCACAGGGGAGGATTCGTCTAACGAGGATATCTACACTTCCAGGCTGATAGAACGACGAGGTCGTTCCACTATGAGAAACGGATTGAGATCAAATCCTGAAACATTTGAACCACTAAGAATTACTGGCTGTGCTTCACCGTTTGCATTACAGTAACTATGTTGTGGTAACTATGTCGATTCGAGGATAAACGGTAAAATCCATATAGTGCATTTGTTGGTCTTCTGTTTCTTGCAGTGAGATTACCTGAAGCCTTAACGCAAGGACCGACTGGTCTAATCGGACATCTGGTCTACCTATTTGTCCATAGTATGATGTAACGATGAGCTGACATTCAAAGGCATCACAACTGAAAAGTCACTTCTCTGGGGAAATGCTTAAACCACCAAATAGATACTTACCTTTGCCCGTTTCAGGTCTTTGGGTGAAGTCGCATCACCCTTAAGATAGGTGGCATGCATTTGTTCGCGCTTAAGCAGAGCTTTGAGACGCAGATCCGGCTCTTGGCTGAAATCGGGGTTCATGTTTATGTGGGACTGAACACATAACTTACGTGGACAAGAAGACTGTCATGATATTCTCGTCGAAACGACTAAGGTCGGCTCGCACAAAAGCATCCAGAAAACGTGAGACGGATTTGTGGTTAATGGCTCCACACACGAGTACATGGCTGATAAAGAAAGCGAAGTAAAAGCAATAAGCTACTCTAGATTTGTCATGATAAATTTCGACCCATAGATGGGTAATCAGTTTACAGTTAGGCACCAAACTAGTGCGAAACATACTTTGCATCATGAAGGCACCATGTATGCGGAACAAGATAAAAGGGCTACATAATATAATAACAGCATTAGGTCTTGAAGTAGCTCGGCCATGCAGTAACAAGATAAAGTGCATTATCAAAAAACAGTCAAATAAATTGGCTGAGAAGGATCAATGCAGCCACCTACCTGGTGTAGATAAAGGAGACGGGTTAAGGGGGGTGGACAAATGTCTTACTATTTTTAGCCGCTCAAGCGGCATCAGACTTGCACATGCGGCTATTGTGACAACTGGAAAGCTTCTGAAGAAAAGGCCTCAAATTTCAAGCGGCAAATCAATGATAACTCATTGAGGGTGCCAGCGAATCGTCTCTGTGTTTCGAGGAACTACCGTTCACGTTTCACACAGGCTTGGAGGTGTGACGAGGCGATCCTGGTCAAATTAGGGCTATTTACGGGCAACTTATTCTTCAAAAGTGCCTTAACAAACCATGACGGAAACCATCCTGATAGGATACATGCGTCAAGAAAGTTTATCCTCGTGCGTTCTACAGCCAGCTTACAACGCAACGACAACAATCGGTCTATCGACGTGGATTCTCTATTCACAAACGTGCCACTTCAAGAAACAGTTGATGAATTGTGTCATTTCATCCTGAGTCAAAACATGTATGTGGGTCTCCCTGTGGAATATTTGCGGGATATGACTCTACTGTGTACAGAGAATGTACGTTTTGAGTTTGATGGGAGAGCATACAAGCAAATCGACGGAGTCGCCATGGGTAGCCCTCTGGGACCAATCTTGGCAGATATCATTCTAGGCTTGATCGGAAGGCAAGTCGCTGCCAGTATTGGTGAAGCAAGGTTACACAAAAGGTACGTGAATGACACTCTGGTGTTCACCAACAGTGAACATTTTACTCGCCTGTTAACCACTTTAAATTCAATATACCCTAACTTACCAGTCTCCCAGGAGATGAAGCAACACGGCTCCCTGGCATTTTTGGATATCCTTATTAAGAGGCAGGACGGAAGTACATTGCAGCGCACCGTTTACCGCAAGGTAACCTGGAGTGGGCAGTACCTTCACTTTTCCAGTTTTGCCCCGGTTGCATCCAAACGCGACCTAGTGAAAACGCTGTTCTACAAGGCCAGACGTATTTGTAGTCCGGATACACTGGAAGCCGAAGAGAAGTTTCTGCATAGGACCTTGGTGGCAAATGGCTATCGTGAAAAGTTCATCCAAGTGCACAGCAGACTCCCCAAAAAGAAACTGCCGGTGTTAACGGCAGAGAAAAAAGCTGTTTATCTGTTCCTGCCCTTCAAAGGAGACCAGGTGGCAAACGACATCGGACACAAGCTCAGGTCCGCTCTAACGAGCACGTACACGACTGCACAGTTGCGTCTCATGCACACGACTCGAAAACTTGTTCTTCATGACCGTCAGAACCACCCTTCGGCTAGTTCGCCCTCGCATGTGGTCTATCAGTTCACCTGAAGTTGCAGTGACATTTACATAGGCAGAACTAACCGTCGGTTGGCTCAGAGGGTGGCTGAACAATTGCCAAAGTGGGTGGAACAAATGATGACGCAACAAAATGGAGCGCCTCCCGGAATGAACCAGATTCTGTCATCATCTATCACTAAGCACCTCGTGACAACTGGTCACAAGGTGGACCCCAAGACTGCGTTCAAAGTGCTATTACGTAACCGGAATCCGATAATGTTGACAATCAGTGAAGCGTTGTTAATCAGGTCTTATCAACCAGTGTTATGTGCACAGAAACTGTTGAGGCAATCAATTCGATTGCCTTGGACTTGATTTTGACGTTTTGATTGGCTTGCCAATTTTTTGCCATGTATATAATTGTGTATGTGTTTCTGCTTGTATTGTGTATGCGATTGACGAGAACAATCGAAATGTTAACGTATCGCAATCTGTGCCTTCTTTCTGCTTTGATCAAGTGGCTGAAGGGGACCAAATGTTTTACGTTTCTGAGAAGACTCCCCGTTACCATTGCGAAGGCATTAGACCGATTTTTGTCGTTGCGTTGTAAGCTGGCTGTAGAACGCACGAGGATAAACTTTCTTGACGCATGTATCCTATCAGGCTGGTTTCCGTCATGGTTTGTTAAGGCACTTTTGAAGAATAAGTTGCCCGTAAATAGCCCTAATTTGACCAGGATCGCCTCGTCACACCTCCAAGCCTGTGTGAAACGTGAACGGTAGTTCCTCGAAACACAGAGACGATTCGCTGGCACCCTCAATGAGTTATCGTTGATTTATAACTTGAAAAATTTGGTCTTGCTTCATGTTACCTAATAGTGCCTTGTGCGCTTCAGTAGGATGTGTCAATGACCTCTGTGCACGAAATGCCGGCTGTTCCTCATTTTGAAGATCGTCTCAGGGACTAGAGCTATCATCCGGATTGTGTTGTGTCGACCATCTGCGAAATACCGTTATGTTGAGATGCCCAGTCGATTAGACATAATTTAAAGCGGATGAATAATCCATGTTATCATCCAGCGGCAGTGACAGGGAGATCCTGCATAAACACAGATGCTACTACCACCGCCCCGTGGGTTGCCATAGCTGCCAGACTATTTGCGACTCTGTGAAGGATCAGTTATCAGTTATATTCACAGTAAAAATGTGGTTAATTGACACTAAAACCGAAGTATTCATGAGTCTAGTTATTTCATAGCACAACTATTAAGCAGTCGTTCGGGTGTTGCTTACAAATTCCAGATCTATGTGCATAATAGCCATCAGCGAAAATCGCAAAATGTTACACCCCTAGTGAAAGCACCTATTTCAGCTTTTGGAGAACCTAATGTATGTTAAAGTCCAAAGAGACTCGCTCACTTTCATCAGTAGGCATTGTAACAAACCCTAGTTGGCATCGAAGGTAACCTGCTCTACAAACTTCGTATACGACCGACACCTTTGAAAGTGAATAGCAACTAGCTTACTTCAAGAACAATAGAGAGAACATCGGGCGCTATTGCACGAGAATAGATTTTTACCGGTTGTTGTACTGTGTCTGTTAAAGTTCTCACCAGCCTAACCAGTATCCAACCAAATGTTCCCAAGCTGATGAATGCGAATGAATGCTAGCAACTCGCGCAAAAGCTGAACTAAAAGCAAAGAGCATAGGATGCAACAAAACCAGCATCGGAACAAATAGTGTATAGGCAATTCACTTGCTTTACTTCCCGGATTGACTGTTAACCGTTTTCTCGCACGTCTTTGTACAAAGTCTTTGCATTTACCACTTTCCATACACATTGTTGTTACGCATGAGTGAGCAAATGACGACAGCGATGACAGAAAGGACAGACACTACTTCACTGTTTCACGTTTGCACTATCTGACTAGGAGTCATGCAGAGCTGGAGAAATCAAGTTCCCCTAACGGACGAGAGTCAAGCCTGAGATACAAGTGACAATACCACCGAAATTTCTTTAGTGTTTCTCTCGGCGAACGCTTCAACGTGTTGGAACTAAGCACTCGGATTCCCTGAATCATTAAACAAATATTTAACTAACGTCACTAGTAAAACTGAACCTTGTTTGGCTCGTTATAAATTTAGTGGACCAGCGTAATAGACAACAACACCAACCTGACTCACTTCCATCGTAACAACGAACAAAGCGGATGTCATGAGGTCCAGGTACAAACATCGTGGAAGGCTATTTAAGACACATACTGGTTGGACGACCGACAGCGTCATATTCTACCTTTGCGATCACAGCAAACGCGTTATCTACTAGTGTTATACACGCCGGATAGATATATATGCTGGCCGATATCTACTGTGCTGAAGTATTCACATGATCCGGCCAACATTCAAGGCTGACACTAATTCATGGTGTATAATAATTCCGCAGAAGCAACCGAGTGTTCTACATGAAGTGTGAACGGCAATTTGTGCGTCGTAGATTTGAAGGCACATTCAGACTATGCAAAAAATTAATTTTGTTTATAATGGAGACTTTGAGTAATGTAGTAGATGCCGGAAACAACGTATCGACCTTAAACAAGTCATCGATAGCACACTGGTACACCGTACAGAGATGTCGATGAACACGCAGCCGCTACAGATCGCACGTGGGCGGATTATCTTGCCGCATCTACACAGATAGGACCGGTGACCTTCGGGTTGCAAGGCAGGAAACTTATCTTTTCCGTCACTGACCGGCGATAAGTTCCGAAGTGATGTTAAAAGTGTGCAGCTTCGGTTGATGTAAAAGACAGCTGTTTGTGATTCATTTGTGTATACTCTGGCAAGATATCAGCATTCTATTGATCGTGCTAGAGAAGACCCTCGCCGAAAACCTTACGTTCAGCATGACCAAAATGCTGATAGAAAAGTACACGTGTAGCTATTCTGAAACCAGGAGGAGTGACCTAGTTTATACAAAGCTCTAAAAATTGTACACACGCTGCAATGAAAAAACACATGAATCACACCACCGACTTATTTGTGACTAGCGCTTTTCCAGCGATCTCAGTAGACATGAAGAGTAACAATCCTAGGTACAAACGTTTGATCCATCGGAATCGGATGATATAGGTAGAAATTAGTCACATTTAGACTTACTCAGACAGCCATCACACGCCCGGAAAAGCACTGTATGCGCGTTTCATCCTTTCGGGAATCGTCAGCAGTGCGCATTCCATCGGACCCTGGTAGGGCTCGAACCCGCAACTCAACTGGTGCCAGTCCGTGGTTGAGACCATTGAGCTACGGGGGACGACCACGACCATCGTAAATAAGTTACTAGATGTGATATAGCGGCGCTCACTATCCACTGACTTACACGTTACTGCCGTGCAGAGGACAGCGTAGCCCCCTGACCAAGCGACGAGCTTACCAAACTTAAGCCGCCACTTCAACTACGGCATAATAAGAGGCGCTATATCACATATAGTAACTTATTTACTATAGTCGTAGCCGTCCCCCGTAGCTCAGTGCACCGAACCATGGACTGGCACCAGTCAAGTTACGGGTTCGAGCCCTACCAGGGTCCGATGGAATGCGCACTGCTGACGATTCCCGAAAGGATGAAACGCGCGTACAGTGCTTTTCTGGGCGTGTGACGGCTGTCTGAGTAAGTCTAGATGTGACGAATTTCAACCTATACTATTTATCTCCCCCTACTACTCTTCTGCAATCGGATGACCCAAGCATTTTCTACTTGAGCTGATGACCACTCGGTTACACTGTCATCGCGCGAGCGTAGTTTATAATGGACAACTGTCACGGTGTCATAGAGACATACGGCGTCCAGCCGACTGTAACACTGGGACTTAAGCGTATCTGTGAGATGGAAAAATAGTGAAAGCTTGAAATGAGCCAAGCATCTGTGCTTCATACCTAGTCTGCCACAGGTAAATTAATGGGGTTAACATGATATGCTGTGTATAGGCCTATTACCTAAATTCACTTTGTGTAAGGGCAAGCCGTTCAGAGAATGGTACGACATATGGGCATAAGCTGATTGGTATCCATTCACAAAGCTTTAAACACATATAGACATTTTGCAAACATACCGTGGATGGTATTCATTGTTGAATGTTCCACAGTACCGCTTGGTAGTAAAGAATAGTTCATACAGTTCTGATACATGCGTAGTGATCGAAATCTGAAAAAGGTTTTAGAAAGTGTGCACAAGCTTTTACATCATGAGACTATGGAATGTTTTCAACATTGACTGAGTGAAAATTTTGTCGGTACTTTGGGCAGATGAGCCGTGCACGTACTCTACGGCCAAGTACGACAACAACTCTATCACAAAATGTTTGTATGAACTATAACAGTGGGGTATGAACTATGAATGCTTTTGACACGTCCACCGGCCAGATGATTATTGATTTTAGGGCTGAGAAGATGCTGAAACAGTACAGACGCAGTAGCAGTTTTGGCAAGAGACAGGGAGAGAGACAGAGGGTGATTGGCTGTCGAAAACAGCAAGATTGTGAGTAAATTCAGCTTATTCGATTATTTTGTTGAAGCATATTTCAGCTGAGATTCAATTGTGAGCCGTGGGAGGCCAGACAAAACGCGGTAGCTTGGTCACGTATGTATAGCACTGTTTACTGGATTCCTTACCAGGGCACCGATGATCACAATAATTGTAACGAGACGACCGAGGTAGCTGGTGCAGACAATATCTCCGTACCCAACGGTGGCCACAGTTACAAGGAGAAAATAGACACAGTCGAAGTAGTCCAGATTCTGTTGAGAACCTCTCCATTGCCAGAAGTTGCCGATGCGTTCAAGCTAGTGGAAAAGTGAACGAAACAACATTGCTTTGTGGTAGTCAACGATACAAAAGCGAATATATTAGATTGATGTCTACTGGTCGGTAGTTGAGCCAAAAATTCCTGGCGAATTCATAAATGTCTTATCACGTTATATAGCACATCGGCTCATTGGGTTATAAACTAGAAGCGAGAATTTTGTTGAAGTCCAGCTCTAAACACATTTGAAAGCTGCAGGGTAACAGTCTCACTTTGTTGTCAGAGTACTTTCGCCGACTTATGTTCCTATTTGCTGTGGGTCTTATATCTTGAACTGACAACTAAGATAAAAACGTTAAAAGATGCGCGAAAGAAGTCCGAACAGTTTAGATGATCGACGATGTGGTCACACAAAAGCCATTCAGATTCGGAAATAAATTTCAATAATGGTCCTATGCAACATATGTTCTCAATCTATATTCTCATACAATTGCTTAGTTCCTTGTGATTTATGCCAGCATACAGAGCAGATACCGTACAAAACTTCCGGTTACACAAACCGGCCTGACGCAATAACAGAAATATTTCTCAAATTTGTGGAAGCATCTTGTCGACCGGTCATACTGCTCAACGTTTCCGTCAAATTAACGAAACGTGCAGGACGCGCTTATAAATGAAAACTAGTCGCTACTTCCCCGTACTTACCTCGGGCTCACAGCTGCAAGAGCGTTAACAGTCAGCGTTATAGTTATTAGGGTTCTATTTTTGCTTCGGATAATGGTCTCAGTGGTTGCAAATTCCACACAAACAATGAGAAGTTCAAAGAACACTGACATCACTCATCCGTGTGGCGAACGTGTCGTAACTGTCGATTTCGTGAACGATCAAGTCGATCGCATACAAAAACCCGCATTGGTTGACAGAATGCACTAATAGTTGATAGGGGAGTTCTTGTAATCTACACCGACGACAATCATAGCACCAAAACGAGGGGCTCTCACCACGTACTAACACATCAAGGAAACTGGTACAAACGAAACAGACAGTGTCCTAAGTATAAGTTTGCCACATCAGCTACTTATAGTGCGAGCCATTACACGTGGTCAGAGTTCGAGCTGGTTTGATCCGACCCTATACAAGTCGAGTGGGATGTGTAGCTGGCTCAGTTCTAGGACCAAGTTTGTTTTTAGTATTCGCCAAACATCTCACTAACATTAGCGCCTCGAATTTGTTGATTATTAATGGCGGCTGCTGTTAAACAAATTGAGCGGCAGCGAAGCAATTGAAACTACGAATGACAAGCTAAATCCGTGTCGCTGCGATTTCACACGATCGCTCGAATAGTAGTAGGTGCACAGAAAAGTCACGTTCTGACCAGGATTATCCGAAGCCAAAGGAATATCACGATCGGTCATTGGAACCAAGGCAAGAAATGTTACATCGAATGACGAACGGAGCAGAACCACGTGACTGACTATGGTTAGTTAATTGCATGATTCTAAACAAACAATAATGCAACGGAGTTGGAGGTTTAGAGATAAGAAGAGCACCATAAGTATTCTGGAGGAACGTATAGTGATCGAACAAGTTTATCGAAAACGGTTAAAGATGCAGACTTGTGATCCACGATTTTGCATCAACCGTATACCTATAAGGAATACAATGCGATTTATACGCGATGGATGAAATTTTCTCATTAACTCAGGTGTCTCATCTCATCCCTTGAAGACAGGAGTAGAACACATCCTGGTGTGCTCTGAAATGCACGCCACGGGCAGCAATGTGGGGAGACACGTGGAGAGGATGTTCATCTTTGAATTTATTATGTTACTAACTTTAACTGGATAATACCTGCAGTTGCCTAATGGAGAGGCTGGATTCCTGGCTTCACTATGCGCATGAAACACATTAAAACCTCCGAAGCTAACAACCTCTAAGTTGACTGGGTTCTTTTCATTGCTTGAGTGTTCACTATGTAAACCTTATGGATCCAGACCTCTCTATCTTGTCCACTTTGGTCTAGTCCCTTCTGTGGTTAACTTCCAGCATTTTTACTGTACGTGTTGCTCAACACTCCGAAAAATGGAGGTTAATTAAGCAATCCATAAAGCTACATGTCTAGTGAACGGTAGTTTTGAGAGACTTCACTTGTAATTCCGTTTGCTGCTTGCCGTCCGATAACCTGCGTCATATAAGTACGAGGATGTGCCACTTTGGGTTGGATCATTTCGTCAACTAATTGACTTATGCCGTCAAACATACGCAGACCATCATTGTGGCGATTCGGTCCATAACTGCATGATGTACAAACTTGTCAAATGTCATAAATAGAATAATGCTGGACATTCCAAGCAACTATGACGTTGTTGCTCGTAAGGTATTCCTTGAGCGTCTGTGCGATAATACCTTCCAATAATTTGGACAACATCTCGTAGAGTGTGATTGGACGATAGTTCAAGGACTCCACACTATTCCCACTATTGCAAATAGAGTTGACTGTTTCGTGTTTTACCATTGTGTTAACTTGCTTTTCATCAAGACATTCTTGCGAGAACCGAGCTAATGGTTCAGCGGTGTTCATGGCGGCTTTCTTCGATACCTACTCTCAGATGTCGTCCACGCTAGGAGAGCTGGGCAAGCGCAAGGACTATAGACTTTTCATCCCATTGACCGCCTTGAACGATACATCGTCTAACCGTGGTGGCCGTAGGAGCAGTGTCAAAAGCAGGTGAGATGATGCATCATTATGAAAAATGTGAATAGATGTTTGCGAAACGCGTCGGCCGCCTCTAGCGTAGTTTACTCCAGCCCATCTCTTGCACGTGAAACTGGGATCCCGCGCTGCTGTCTGTGGAGCAAGTTGACATGTCTACACCATACTTTAGGGTTGGTATTAAATTTTGTTACTAAATTCTATTGATGCCGATGTTTGCGTTCACGCAGCAAATTGATGCAGTAGTTTCCTTGTGTTGTGTAGGCCTCCCAGGCCTGATTACTCGGATAAGTTTTATAAGCGCGCCAGCCTACATTCCCTAAGGCCATGCGTTTTCGCGTCCGGTTCTTCAGAGAGTATTTCGTTTGCTTCGGGCAAAAGACTGCTTTCTGATGCATTTGCCATTATTCCGGTGAACTGGGTATAAAAGCACCATCCAGGTGACATCGGACGGATGGTCGGCAAGGAAGGACTAAGCAGTTACTTGAACGAGGTCTGAGAGAATGTTGTAATGGGTGACGACGTAGCTCTTATTGGTGTAGTCCGCGTAGCAGATGAAACGAAAGAGCAGCGTCGCGTGAGCACTAAAGCCAAGTGTCGCACCTATGTTTACGGAATCGAGCACTAGTTCCCCGTTCAATAGTTCAATAGTGTATGATGGGATAAAAAGCATTGGCTTTATAAGACCCATAGGATGGTAAATGCAAAATAAATAAAAATCATTAGATTCCGACATGGAACTGAAATGCCAATAGTCTAAACCTAGTACATCACACCACAATGTGTTGTTTGTCACTCAGATGAATGTCTAACAATTGTTTGAAGGCTGTAATGTTCGGAGCGTTTACCACATGCGTTGGCAAATCATTCCATTATGAACAGATTCTAAGAGAGTAAAAATATTTTCTACAGTCTAATCGGGAGTGTTGGATTATCAGCTTGAGGTTATGACCTCTCGATCGCTTATATGAGGCTAGGGTGAGCAGCGATTTGCACGGGTGATCGCTTTCCGTTAATATCCGGTATGCGAGAATGAGATCTCCGCGTAGTCGTCGGTATTCTGAGGAAAACATTCCGATTAAACTGAGACACACTTCATAATTGATACCAGATAATCCGCGTGTTGCCTTCGTAGCTCTTCGTTGGGGCTGCTCTAAGAGATGAATGTCCCGTTGTAACCACGGGCACTAAGCCTGGACGGCATATTCGACGTGGGGATGGATTTAGGAGTTGACAAGCATGGGTACCAACCGTCGTTCAAAAACACCAAAAGTTCGCCTCAAAAGTCTCAGATTCATGTTCGCCACGTTTGCTGCTTTCGAACATTGGAGCGAAATCCCCAGACTTTCTTGCACAATGATACCTAAGTCTCTTTCTGTGGTCACGCGCCGTAAAACGTACTGCCCCAAGAGGTACGTGGTGGTAAGATTGCTGCGCAATGACAGTAGGTGACACTTGGCAGGATTCAGGGGGAGGTGGTTTATATCTACCCATTGGTTGATTCGATCCAAAGCATTCTGGAGGAGGGCACAGTCTGATGTTGAGCGAATAACTCTCCAGATTTTTGCGTCATCTGCAAACATTTGCATCGAGGATTGAATATTATCCGGGAGGTCGTTAATGTAGACCAGAAAAAGGAGGGGACCAAGGACGGATCCTTGAGGAACACCGCTAGAGATGCAGAGGGTTTCCAAGAGGGCATCGGCAACTCTGACCTTGATCGTTCTGTCATGCAAATATGCTGCTAGCCAGGTGAATAGGGAACCATGGATACCGTAGGCACGAAGCTTATGAAGCAGAGCTAAGTGATTGACTCTGTCGAATGCCTTCGAAAAGTCTAGGTAAATTACATCAAGGGGGATCCTTCATCAAGCGGTTTGGTCCATGAATCCCGAGTAAGAAGCAGATTTGTGAGGCAAGATCGTTTGCGCCTAAAGCCGTGTTGGAGGTAAGAAATTAGCTTCAGACTCTCAAAATATCGTGTAATTTCATCTGCAACTAACGCTTCCATTACTTTTGATAAACAGGGAGGAGAGTAATGGGTCGGTAGTTGGCAGGATCCGATCGCTTACCTCCTTTGTATATCGGAGTGACTATCCCGCTTTTCCACTCAGACGGAAGTGTTTGAAAACTGAGTAGACTTTGGAAAAAGCTTGCGAGGTGTGCTGCTATGGTGGGAGCAAGAGTTTTAAGAACTTTGGGTCTGATCACGTCGACTCCCGGAGCGCTATTTTCTCTTAGAGACCGTAATTTGCTAGCGACAGCTGCTGAGGTAAAAGTGACAGTTGATATGCCGACCACGTTGGGTGAATGCTGGTTTGGCAAAG